CCCGGACCCCGAGGTCACCTGGGCTAAGCTTCTGAACGTGAGCCACCAGTATGGCGGGGCCGGCAGAGGCCCTTAGCTGGGAGCGGGGGGAGCAGACGTTGCCTGGGCTCTGCCAAGGGCACGGCAGGCCAGAACAAGGGCCACGCTTGGGCACGCGTGGCCTCTGTGTTCCACGTCCTCCCCTCCAGCAGAGCTGGGCCGCCTGCCACATTTCCAGTTCATCGTGCACCCATCATGCACCCACCCCTTCCCACCCGTTCCCATCCCTTCCCACCCAAGTGGGAAGGGATGGGAACGGGTGGGAAGGGGTGGCGGAGGTAGTGGAGGCCACCTCATCCTTGAGGCCAAAGGATGGGAATGGGTGGGAAGGGGTGGGAAGGGGTTTGAAGAGTCCTCTGTCAAGATGTAGGGAGTGGGAACTGTATCTTCGAAATAGGAAAGCTGGCTCAGCTCTGCTCCTTGATCTCCTGGCAGGCAGGGACTGAGGAGCTCTGAGTCCGGGAAGGTTTCTCTCCCCTCTTCCTGGATCTAGGCCGCCCCCCGCCACAAGCCCTAATCTTTTGCACTGGACAACTACAGGCTGACACAAGGGTCAAACTGCAAATGCGAAGGCTGAACCCACAGCTGCTCCCACTCTGCTTCCCTTACTAGCAGCAGCCCAGCCTGCCTGACAGTCCCCTGTGGCCTCACCCCCTCAGGGAAGCAAGAATTAGAAGGCAGACCTGGTACAAAGCTCCTGCTATGGACTCGACCAGGGACTGGGGAGCTACTTTTCCTCTCCACAGTATAGCGGCCCAGGGGCAAAGTGTTGAAGATGACCTAGATTGGAAAGCCAGTGTCACTGCCAACAGCACCACCATCATGGCCACCATCATCGCCATCACCACCACCGTCATCATCACTGTCATCTTCACCACCATTATCAACACCATCACCAGCATCACCAGCATCACCACAGTCATCATCACCATCACCATCACCATCATTATCAACACCATCACCATCCACCATCACCATCTCCAGCACAGTCACCGTCATCACCACCATCAGCAGCAGCACCATTATTACCATCATCGCCCTCACTCTCACCACCATCATCACCATCATCACCAACTTAGCAGCAGCAGTAGTAGTGGAGGCCACCGTAAGAGAAACAAAGCATCTTGAATAGAAGAAAAGGGGCTTTGTTTCAGTTCTTTTGAGATGCGGTTTGGTAACAGGAGGACAGTCTCGGGCAGAGCAGGGTGGGGAAGAGCCCTGGAGTCTGGGCGGATGGGCCGAGCCTTCCTGTCCACTTCTTACGTGGCTTTGGAAAGCCACAGCTTCCGCGCCTGCGTTCGCACCGACAGAGCAGTGACCCTGACGAGAGCGGGGACCAGTGACGCTCTTAATTTTCCCTGTGACCTTTAGGTATGTTGGGAAGACATAAAAACACTAACTTCCTCCCAGACTCTCCCACTCGCAACGAAAAGCCCCGGTTGTAAGGCAATAAGCAGATATCGGGGTGTCTGAAAGGTGGGAAGAAGACGGGCTGCGAGGGGCCCCCTCAGCTTCCTTGGTGCCTCCCATACGGTCCCCGGCAGGTGCTGCAAAGCCTCCGACACAAACCCTTAGTGGGCACAGACTAAAAAATCTCCAGGGCAAGTCTGTTCCCAGTGAGAAAAGAATGACCTAAAAACAAAGGAACTTTTGGAGAATATCCCCTGCTCCAGCCAAACACCACTGGAAAGCCACGTGCCACCTCCGTGGTTCCAGCAGGCAGAGAGGAGCTGATTCGGTGACCCCGCCCCACGCCAGCCCACCTCACCCCTCCCGACTCCTCACCTCCGGGGCCTCCATCCCCCGCCGGGCGGTATTGGCTCCCAGAGGCGAGCCGAGCCCCCAGCCCCACTGGCATTAACAAAACGGCGGCGGAAGGAAGTGTGGGGGGCAGGCTAGCTGACTCTCTGGCTCCCCCTTCCCTGGTGTCTGTGGCACTCAGCCGGGAGCTAAGCCACCCCCCCCACCGCCACCCCGAGTGGTGAAGCAGTGTTGGTCAGCGCCTGCTTCCTCAGGAAGATACAGAGGGCTGGGGAGGGAGCCGGACCTCCGCCCCACCGGTCTGCCCCGAGGCCGTGTGAGTCAGGGCCCCCATTTCCGGGGTGCTCAGAAACTCAACACGCCCCCTATCCAGCCCTCACGCTACACCCCCTCGGGGGCTGCCTACCACAAAACAGACGAGCTGGTGTCGAGAGTCTTGGGACATTCAAAACATCCAGAGTGCGGTAGAAAATCACTCGTCACACCAAGAGCCAGGAAGTCATCGGCTGAACGAGAGAGGACAAGGCCCGGGGGTGAGCTGAACGAGAGAGGACAAGGCCCGGGGGTGAGCGTCGCCGCCAATGGATCAGGCGCTGGAGTTCGCGGCGGTTCGCAAGCAGCCGTTACCGCAAGGTCTCAGGAGGCAATTACGAATTCCCTTGAAACAAGTGCAAAAATGGAAAATCCCAGCCAAGTATGAGAATTTACGAAGCAAAGAATAAATGATCACACGGAAAAATATATCTGAAATAAAAAAACGTGCTGGAGGGCCCCGTGGGAGGAAACCGGTGGATTTCAGGAGAGGCGTGTGGAATTTACCCGACCTGAGCAACAGAGAAAACAGAAAAAGTGAGCGGAGTCCCACGGGCCTGTGGACGAGGATAAGATCGCTGACTTTTGTATCCTCAGGGATGCGGAAGGAGAGAAAAGAGTGGAACGTTAAAAAGTATTACAAGACGGCACCCGGCTGGCTCAGAAGATCAAGCGTCCGACTCGTGATTCCAGCTCAGTCATGATGTCGGGGTCCCGGGATCGAGCCCCGCATCGGGCTCCCTGCTCAGCGGGGAGTCTGCTTTTCCCTCTGCCTCTGCCCCCACTCACACGCTCTCTCTTCTTCTCTCTCTCTGAAATCAATAGATTGTTTTTTTAAAAAAGTTCTACCAGAAATAATGGCACAAATTCCCAAATTTGGCAAAAAACATAAATGTACAGATTCACGAGTTGCCTAAATCCCGAAAGATCAACCTGTAGAAACCCACAGCAAGACACACCATAATGGGGGCTGCAGACCACAAAAACCCCCAAGGGCAGCCAGAGAGAAATGGTGCATGACAACAGGGGCCGTGATCAAATAATTGGGGGTCTCTGGTCTGCAGCCACGGGCCATGGAGAAGGGCCACGGAGAAGGCGCTCATACCACGTTGCCCAGGTGCTGGAAGGGAACGGTTAACTGTGGACTCTATGTCCGGAGAAAACATCCTTCAGGGACGGAGCAGAAAGACAGCGTCCTCAGATGACAGAAAAGGAAGAGACTTTGTCACTAGCAAACCCCTCTTAGGGAAAGACCACAGGAAGTTCTCTAAAAGGAAAGGAAATGATAGTGGGAATGTGGAACCTCAGAAGCACAAAAGAACATCAGGTTGGGTTAAAATGTGGGTAACCGTATTGTAGGGTATCTAACGGGCTCCTAAATCATTTGAGGGCAGGAGGAAAAGTCGTAATACGTCGGAGGTTGTTCTCAGACGTGTGTAGCAGCAACAGGACATTCTCTTGTAAAATCTGGGAGGCTACAGGGGCCTACACAGAAGTAAGTTTTCAGCGTCTCACTCTGAGTGAGAAAATGTCCCAACGGGTAGATTGTGGTGTTCCCCTGGCGCAGTCACCAAGAAATCAATACGGCACAATTTGCTGAAAATCCTTGTCAATAAATCAAGACGGAATTCCGAAAAACCTCCAGCCAGCCATGGGAGGGGACGAGAAGGGGACCAGGAGACAAAACAGCACGGCGGCGGGATCAGGACGGAAGGTGTGGCTTCGCACGAGAAACCTCCACACACGCCGGCTGAGAGACCCCACGGACTGAACAAGTGACCCGGCCACCTGCTGTCTAATGGCACTGTGTGCTCGCGTCAGAGACGACACTGGCGGCCTGACAGCAGCGGGGAGAGGAGCACGCACGGGTGGGTAGATGGGTGTGTCCCACACACGCTGAAATGTCCTGCGATGCTGTCCTTAAGACTCCCCCCCTCCCCTCCCCCTGCAGCCCTTCCCATCCCCTCCTGCCTCTACCAACCCGAGGTGTCTACCCTGTTCTTCTTCCATGTGCTCATAATCCTATAAAAAACCACGTTCGCTTCCACAAAGCGTGCAGAGATGCGCGTGGGGAAGTGCCCCTGTCTTCTTTCCCAGATGGGAAGGGGACACCCTTCTGGAAAGACTTCTCGGTACTTTCGTTCTGTCCCAGTATTATTTTGGGAGAACTTCACCAAATCTATGTGGAAAAACTCCCTTTCTTCATCATTTATTCAACCGTGACTCTACTGATGGCCGTTAACTTTGTCTCCGGGATTTTACTCCAGAACGAGGCTGTCTTTGCAAGAATCACAGTAATCTGGTAGGGGGTGTCGACGCTCCGAGCGGCGGGGGCGGGGCTGCTGGCGGGTCTCGAACAGATGACGGCTGCGCCCCTGCCCGGCTCCGTAGGCTCAGGCTGCGGGCTCCGGCCCGCTTCAGCCTCCGGCCTCGTAAAAGCCACGAAAGCCTGACCATACTGAAGACCCACCGCCCGCTCTCTTGGCCCCCAGAGCAGGGAGCGCTCCTGTCGGTTCCTGTCCCCAACCAGGGCTGACTGTCCCAGACCACCCCAGACCCACGTTTTAAACGGAGAGCCCAGGGCCCTGCGGGATCAAACTCGGGCCCCTGCTTTTGGGACCAACTCTGCAGACGGAAACAGCCTCGACTCCTAACCCAGGGCTTTCTAGGGACAAGGGGGTGGGGACAGCCACTTAAAGGGGGTTCATGACCCCCCTTTCATGGCGAGCGGGCGGTCCTTCCCATGCGTGCGGGACAAGGCCCTGGTGGACCTTGGGGTCCACCTTGGAAATTCCTCTGGGGCCACCTAGAATAAAGAGCCCGACATCACGACCAGAGGCTGAACACGATTTTGTCCTTTATTGAACACCCCGTCGGCGCCAAGGGGCGAGCTCACTACCCACACCCACCCCTTGCCCTCAGCCCCTCAGAAGCACCTTCTCTGAACCACGGATGCCCCGAACTCTTTGAAATCGGCGGAGGTGACCCACATCTGCTTGAAGCTGCTCAGGGAGGTGACGATGGAGGCCCCGATCCACGTGGAGAACCACCTGTCCGGGGGGGCCGTGATCTTGATGGGGGTCCCTTTGGAAGCGAGCTGCTCCAGCTCCCTCAGAAGACGGTCGTCGAGGCCCTGGAACAGAGTGGTGCCCCCGGACAGCACGATCTCCCCAAAAAGGGTCTTCTGGATGTCCGCATCACACTTGGTGATGCTGCAGGAGACCATCTTTGAGAGGCCCGGGTTCTGGACGCCCAGCTGCTCGGGTGTGAACAGGGCCTCGGGGGCCTGGTGCAGCTGGTCCCCGACGTAGACGACGTTCCCGTCCGGCAGCTTGTACTCTCTGAGGACCTCCTCCGACCTCCGCGACAGCTCCTTCTCGGGCTCCAGGGCCACGTAGCACAGCTTCTCCTTGATGTCGTCCACCAGGGCCTTGTCCAGCACGCACGGGAAGGACTGCCCGCTTGCCAGCAGCAGCCGCGTGAGGTGCTCCGTGATGTCCCTTCCCGCCACGTAGAGCTTGGTGACCGCGTGAGGCAGGGAGTACCCTTCGAAGATGGGGACGGTGCAAGTGACCCCGTCCCCGCTGTCCACCACCAGGCCCGTGACGCAGGCAGAGGCGTAGAGGGCCAGCACGGCCTGGTCTGACAGGTAGAAGGCCGGCACGTTGAAGTTCTCAAACATCATCGTGGCCATCTTCTCCCGGGCCTCCCTGGGGTTCAGGGAGGGCTCCGTCATGAGCACCGGCCGGTCGCTGGCCTTCACCCCCAGCTCCCACTCAAACAGGTGTTTGCAGAGCCTCTCCACATCCTCCCAGCCGGTGACCAGGCCCCGCTCGATGGGGTAGCGCAGCTGCAGGACCTCCCGCTTGTGCACGGCCTCTTCCCCCACAAAGTACTTCTTCTGGCTGGCCCCCGCCGAGGGCACCTTGAACTTGGGGTACCCCACCACGGAGCTGATGACGTGGCGGGGCCCGATCTCTCCAGAGAGGCCTGCTTTGCAGAGCCCGGAGCCGTTGTCAAAAATCACAGCGGGAGAGTCCAACGCGTGCGGATTAAACATGCCTGCAGCGTCCTAGTCCTCTTCGGGCTTCACCAAAACGCAGGCAGAACGCCGTCGGGCCACTTTGTGACGCAAGAGGCCTCTCTGGAAGTCTGGAGGGCACAGGGTTCCGCTGCTATGCGGTGACTCCCCGCAGGCTAGCAGGCGGCCAGTCCGTGGGGGCCCTCCATCCTCGCGGCAGGTCTGCCCCGCTCTCAGGCAGCCCGGGGGCGCCGTGGCCCTTTCAGGGGTGACGGTCCCACATGTAACAATCCAGCCAAGCAACAATTGTCCTCAGCCAGCGGCAGAGGGCCTTTGGGGCGGGGGGTTTCTGGGGCCCCGTCCTCCTTCCCTGGGGAGACTCCAAACGGCCCAGGGCAAACCAGGCCCACAGGCACTCTTGCTGGGCCTATGGGCTGAGGAAGGGCTTGGAACCGGGGGAAGCAGCCGGCCCAGGCCCGCACGGAGGACTGGTGTCTGCTGAGCGTGGCGTCCCCTTGCTAAGAAGAGGGCCCCATGCCAGACACGGGTGCGGGTTGGAGGAACGTGTCCACGAGCCACCACAGCAGGCACCAGGATGTGTGGCTTCCCCCAGGTAGCCCTTGGGGATTTGTCTTCCCTTCACCCCACGAGCCCTGGCTCCCATCCCACAGGACAGACGCAAAACAACGCGCTCTGGGCCCGCAGGCTTCCCTCTAGGCAGGCTTGTCCCTGCTCTGGCTTGAGGTCAGGGCCCCTTGCTGCTCTCCACGGCCTGGACGCGTTGGCACAGAGCGACGTGAAGTGATGCGTGGGGTGGAGGGCATGACCTCTGAAGACGGGATCTGATGTTCCCAGAGCGGGTCACCCCATGTCTGTGGACCGTCACCTGGTCAGCCACACGTACTGAAGCGTGCTCAGAAATGACCAGGTCAAGGAGGAGGCCAGCAGCATGGCGGCTCAGGGGCAAGGCTGTGGGTCAAGCCCGAGGAGCCAGGCAGAGGGCTGTGTGGTGGGGCTCCCAGAGGCCCGGGCCAGCAGCCCTGAGCCCTGGAGGGAGGTGGCGGGCCTGGGGAACCCACGTTTACCTGATGACCCTTCCCCTCCTGGCACATCCAGAATCCCCCTCGGGTCCAGCTCTGTCCCCAACCCAAGAACCCAAAGAACCACCCCTCCAGAACCACCAGCCTCCTCCGCCGGTGTGTGTCCTGCTGACCGTTCTAAACCCAGCAGATAGAACAGCAGTTAGTCGTGTGGTGTAGACCCCCGGTGTAGGTGTGTAATCTGTATGTGCAGTGTAGACAAGTGGCAGGTATGTGAGTTCATGGGCACACTCAGGGCTAAGCCCTGGATAAGAATCAATAAAAACTTGGTCTTGGGGTGCCTGGGTGGCTCAGTGGGTTAAGCCTCTGCCTTCAGCTCAAGTCATGATCTCAGAGTCCTGGGATTGAGCCCCACATGGGGTTCTCTGCTCAGCGGGGAGCCTGCTTCCTCCTCTCTCTCTGCCTGCCTCTCTGCCTGCTTGTGATCTCTGTCAAATAAATAAAATATTTAAAAAATAAAAACTTGGCCTCGTTGGACATTTTCCCTGAAAGGACCCCTCCAGCTGGAAACTGAGTCCCGTGTGGGGCGCGGTGAATGCTGCAGGATGGCCCCTGATGGAGTTGGTGCCACCCACAGTGGTCGTCAGTGGGCCCTGTAGGGGATCCAGGATCTGGGGGCCCCGACATCCAGGGGAATGTGTCCCTGTTAGGCTGCTGACCGGGCGCTCAGTGGAAGGCGGTGTCTCGGGGTTCCAGCCTGCTGACATCACAAAAGGCCTGTGAATCTGGGGTCTCAGGAATTGTTAGAATTTTCTGATTGTCGCCAGACACTCCAGGCCGAACCAGGAGGAACACGCTCTCGGGATTTCTCAATTTTGGCCCCAACAGGGCCCACACGTCAGCTTCAGACACCGGGTCACCACACACGGGTGGCACGTGGGCGTGTCCCCATGGGCCGGGCCTGGGGCATTGGGCGTTTTCAGGAGGGACAGAGGAGCAGAAAAGGACCAAGGGTGAGGCACAGCTTAGACAGACCCGTGGGTGTGGGCGCGTTCTGTGGCCACCGGGTTCCCTGTTGCTCTAACAACACACAATCACCACATCCCGTAGGCTGGCAGCCTCTGACCCACGCACGGGTCACACAAGCACACGCACACCCCCGGCCCCTCCTTGAGCTCCCCGGGCCCAGCTCCCCGGTCAGCCCCCCAGTTGGGTCCAGGACATGTCCACCTGTCACCAAACCTGGGTGGCTCTCCGTTCTGTGACCCCTGCCGGCTCCACACAAGCTGAGACCCTCGAGGACACAGCTGGGAATGCTGGGCCGGTGTCAGGCCAGTGGTTCCAGTAAAGCCTTCTGAGCATTTCCGGGACCGCTTTCCCAAATGGGTTCCCTCTCCCCGCTGAGTCTGAGAGATGTGCTGCCCCTTGTCGGGGGCCTGGCACCGCCCAGCCCTGCCTCACAACCCTGGACGCTCACGGCCGTTGGGTGCTATGTGCCGGGCGGGGCGGCCGGGGACGGTCCTCACTCCGCTCTTCTCTGTGCACTTGGAGAAGCGACCCCCAGCCCGGAGGCGCCTTCCCCACTGCCGGTCCTCTGTGGTCCGGCTGCTGAAGCCTGGTCCGGGCTGGGTGGTGGCTTCTGCCCCATCATTAAGTGTCCACCTCATGGGGAGAAGACCCACCACCAAGAAGTGGGCCATGCTCCGGGGGCGACAGCACGGGGCCGCTGAGAAAAACCAGTGGGTCTACGAGCCACAGCCTACGTGAGGTGGTGCTGGTTTCCAGCTCCCAGCCGGGGGCAGAAATTCCAGCCCGTGCTGCTCCGGTGCCTGGGAACCTTCTCTCCAGCCTGGTCTCCTCCTCGCGTCTGAGGCCATCGTGGAAACAAACCCCCCCCCGCCCCGCCCCTCCCACCCCCTGGGTCTGCAGGTCTGGGGGCACAGCACGCCTCCTGGGCAGGTGCCGCGGCGGGGCCCACGGGCACCCTTGCCACGTCAGTGGAGGCGCTGCTCCACGTGGCTGAGCATTGGCTGCAAGGTCGCGTTTGCTGTTAGCACAAGGACATCACCCCTCCTCAGGCTCCGGCTAGAAGCCCGTCAGAGGCTGCCCTGCCCCCACCCGGGGTCAGCCATGCCTCATAAATCGCTTCGACGAGTTTATGGGCGAACTAGCTGTAACTCCATCTCCCTCCGCAGGGCAAGCCTCGCCACCGCGGTGGCTCTGGAGGGCACTCGTTTCCGTCTTACACAGGAAGGCTTGCTCTTATTTCTGGTCCAGCAGTCATGCCCAACGGCAGCCCTCCCCAGCCCCCACACGACCCCCGCCTGCCGTGCCCTCGGAGGAGCCCCAGCCCTTGGTGGGAGGTGCACAGCCCCTGGGCAGTCTTGGAAAGCTGCCAGGCATTTAGACGGGAGTGGGCAGCCGTGGACCTGCTGGGGACCCCTGCTGCCTACTGCCTGGGTGCAGCATGACTGGGCCACCCACGCCCTGGGCTGGGGCCGCCCTGGCTGTCCCGTCGGCCCTGGTTCCATCTGCCCCTGGCGCCCAGAGCCTCAGCCAATTAGTGACCTACAGACTGGGCTCGTTAGTTGGGGCTGACATCTGGCGCCCAGATTCTATTTGTAAGGATCTGGTCTGGCGTCGGCCGGCAGCCCGAAGAACAGCCAACTCTGCAGGCGACAGGGTGGGCACCCCTCTTGCAAGAGCGAGACTTGTGTACGTGTCCACGGGGACTGTGGGAGTCCAGGGCCACAGGGGCTTGGAGTGCGCCCCCAAGTGTCTTCTCTTTCACCTTTTTGTCCCAGTCGTCCTCAGGGAGCTCAAAGCTCTGAGCGCTCTTCCTGGTGTCCTGGCCCTTTTGAACCTCTGGGATGGAACTTGTGTCACATGCCCATTCATCCATTTTCCATCCACCATCCAGACATCCGCCCACCATCCATCCATCCACAGTCCGTCCGTCTGTCCATCCATCCATCCGCCTGTCCACCATCCAACCAACCATCCACCCACCATCCACCCATCCATCCAGGCACCAGACATCCGCCCACCCATCTGCCCATCCGTCCACCATGCATCCATCTGTCCTCCCGTCTGCCCCCTATACACCCACTCCCCCACTCACCTATCCCCACCCATTATTGTCCAACCTCTTATCCAGTGACCCTCCCTCCCTTCCCTCCCCCTTTCCTCTCTTCGTGGCTGAAGTGAACATCCTCACTTGTCTTTGTCCACCTCCTTCCCTGGTGACCTTAAGGCTTCACAGTCTCCACAGCTGACGGCAGGGCCCCCACGAGGTGCTCCCTTCCAGCCAGCCGGGTCCGAACGGCACCCCCGGGTGGCTCCTTTCTCCGCCTCCCATGAGCGTGACACACCGAACCGGCCTACATGGGCAGAACTGGCTCACCGCAGCCAACACGACCTCCACAAGCCAGTGTCCACGGGGCAGGCGGAAAGAACTGGTGCTGAGCTGACGGGCTCTGGGGAGCGCCCGGCAGAGCCTTCCATGGTTCAGTGCAGAGACACTGCGGGGTGGGAAGGTGAGGCGGACCAGGTTGGGGGAGAGGCAGTCTGGCAGGGGACACAGACAGTCAGCCCACACCGTGGCTGTCCTGTCCACCCGCTGGCGGCAGGAACCCACAGGCAAGGTCGCCGGGGGCCAAGCGAGCAGTGGCTCGGCAATCATTGTCCGCGGGCTGGGTCTCAGAGCCTCCCCCACCCCCGCAGCTGCTGGGCAGGTGGAGGATGCGTCCAACCCAGGCCAGGGAGGAAGGGGAGAGAGCCCGGACTTGAGCTGCCAGGAGGCGGGAGAGCAGATGGGGGTATAGGCAGAGGACAGGACAATCGGGGCTGGCCTGGGCTCCACCCACCCCCGGGGAACACGGGACAGGCTCGTGAACAGCACCATCCTCCCCAACCCTAGAATGATAAATCTCCGGGTCCCACCCTCCTCCCTTCACAGGACAGTGCCTGCGTGTGTTGGGGGCTATGGGGTCGGGTCCATCCTGCACCCGTCCGAGGCCCGAGGCTTCAGCCCCCGCGGGACTGAGTCGAGGTGAATGGAGACAAGAGACAGCTCTGGACGCG